CAAAAATGACACTGGCCACACCCCTCCTGGCCATCAGTCATAGAAAAGTCCATGTCCATCATGGCATTGGAAATTGTTGCTGTTGTGATATGGTTGTTATTTCCTGCAGATAAAAGACACAATATTCTGCAATGCCTGTACCATCCAAGTTTGCTACTCCTGAAGGACCCCAGAGAGTATAAGTTACTCAGGCATTGGGTGGGGAGACAGACTGCACTCTGGACCAGTAAGGGGGGATTAGTTCATTCCCTTGTCATATCTAGGCCTGTTCTCCCACTTTGGACACCCATAGCTGCCATTGACACCTTCCCAGCAAGGTGACTTCTCAGCTCCTGCTGCTCATAAAGGGATTGGGCTTCTTTCTCCACACATGGTTCTGCTGATTTGCAGAGCCCACACTATGTTCTAATAGCTCAGGTCAATGCTATTAATGCCTGGTAGGCATACCCTAGATGTGGGTAGGGTCACTGTGTAATGGCTCAGGGTGTCCTGAAATAACACCTCCTCTAAGAGTCTTCTAACCACTCTCAAGCTCAGTCACCTAAACTAATATATACAGCTGTGCTCTCTTAGAACACTTATTCTCAGATGTCTTGCTTCTTCTTCATTACCTTTACCCATCAACTACCTCCTATGTTTCATTCTAAGCTCCTGAGGAGTATGGCCTTGATGGCTGAGCTTCATGATTTTATCCTGAAGCTGGAAAAGCTCTAGCTGTATGTCAAGTTATCACAATTACATGTTATTTCATCTGTGTGATCTCAGGGACATCAACTTTGACAAAGGATATTGGCTCTCCCACTGTGTTGGTTATCTGGGGGCCTGCCCAAAAGACTGGTGGAGTCCCAGCCCACTCTGCAAAATTGAGGCTCCTTCCACAACTTGTGGCCCACATGAGATTCTTAGCTCAAACAGAGACAGTTGAGAGTCAGCCATTTGTACAGCTGCATCAATTTTCTCAGTCTACAGCCCCCAACACTCTAAGGTTTATCCTCTCATGTGTCTGAACACTGACAGGTCATCAAGGTGACCAAGTATAAGTCTCTTTGGGTAAAGATGTCAAGAGGGGCACAGGGAGGCCATGGCCCCCTACATCTGGTGTCCATGGCTTAACTTTCCTGTCTCATTTGGAGTGACTCCACCCACCTCCCTCCCCCAGAAGGAACTCTGCCTCCTTCCTCTCCATCTTTCACTTCTTGGCCCTCAGTGTCCTGTTCTGAGACCATGCTGGCCCAGGCTCTGGAAGCAGGTGCTGGTCACACAGTGGCATCTTTGTACTATAAACTATATGGACCCAGATTGGACAGCAACACATATCTGCAAACAATATTAATGAGCACTCTCTGGCAAACCTTGCTGAGGCGCTCATAAGACCTAGGGCTTGACCCCAGCAAGCAAAGTGCTACAGAACAGGAAGTCTGTCATCTCAAGAGCAGAAAAAGATGGGGCCTGTGCTATGTAGAAACAGCAGATACAGATAGGTTGAGAGTCAATGACAAACCCATGATCTGAGTTCAGGATGGTCTTCCAACCAAGCCACCCCAGGTCATTCTCCATGAGGAGGCCAGGCTATGCCCTTGATCTCCAAATGTTTCTCCAAGGGCCTCTCCCAGATGACAGGGTCCTGAATGTGCCCATGATCCCTCAGGCTCCTCATTGCCTACAGAACTGACTGAAATCCTGGAGAGCAAGACTCCCTCCCTACACAGAAATGAGCAGTGTGCACACTGGTTTTTCCAAGAGCCAGCAGTACTGTACTTGGAAGTTCCTGTCATTCCCAATGTGCAGCAGTACAGAGTGCATCAGGTGGGACCCTGGGTCTCCTGTTCTAAGCTCAGTGTTCCTGAGTACATCTTTCCTGCAGTTACAGAAGACAAGATTATTCCATGTTTGAATCCACTTTTCAGCTGAAGTTGAGAGAGAGCATGTGTGGGGTGAGGGTGAGGAGGCCATGCACCAAAGAGCCAAGCAGATGGCCTGAGAGCAGGTACTCAGAAGATATTCATCCTGAACTCCAAGTAGCCAATTCTATTTTGGGTCAATGTGAAGGGCTTCTCAGCTTTGCTTCCAGGAGAGGAAGGTTTCCTGCTCAGTGAATTATGTACCAATTTCCTAAAAGCTAAATGGGGAAGCCATTGCTGAGGAGGGCAGGAGGGAGAGCCAGGAAAGGGGGTTTCAGGCCTTAGCTGAAGTGGGAACAGATGCAGGAGGGGTTTGGGAAGCATTTCAGAGCAGACTGGAGGGTCAAGGGAACTTGGTCATAACCAACCCCTCTGCCCCACTGGCAGGCTGTTCTAGGCAAGATAAGGCAAGAATCTCCTGGGAGATGCTGTTCCTGACAGTGGATATGGCCATGGCCCTGCAAAGTTCTCTCAGAAGGAAGAGAAAAGTCACCTCCAGGATAAGGTTGGGGGTGGAGTGGACAGAGATCAGAAATTACTGGTCATATGTGGACAATACCACCACATACACACTGAGTATTGGATCACTGAAGATCATACCCACCATATATGTGTGTGCCTTGCTCTTGTGGTCTCTGTCTCTGTATGTCCACATATCAGTGTATGTGTGTACCTGTATCATGTTTGTGTATGCCTGTGTGTAATCCTGTGTTACTGTGCATTTTGGGGCATATCTGTATATATGTGATTGTGTGTGCACCTCAACTTCTCTGTGTGCATATGTGTGTGTGTTTGTGTGTGCACATCTGTGTGTGCAAATTTATGTGTATCTGTGTAGACATTTCTTTGTTTGTGCCCCTGATGTATTACCTGGGTATTTCCCTCAGGCTCTTGCATGTGAACACCTCCGCACTAGATGGAGGCACTTTTCTGGGAAATATGTGGACCTGTGGTCCTGGAGTCTCATGAGAAGAAATGGGATGTTGGTAGAACCAACCTTAGGGTCTAAAGCAGTTTTTGATCCCTCAAGATGCAAATAAGCCATGAGCCCAGCTTGTACTGCCATGGTTCAGCTGTTGCAGGCACCACACCTTACTCCTTTCCATGAGCCAGAACAAATCCTTCCTCCACTGTGTTGTTTCCATTTTGTATTGTGTATTTTGCCAATTGACCAGAAGAGGAACTAATGTAAGAAATTGATACTAAGAAGTAAGGTCATTTCTTGAGAACCCTGAATATGTGGATTTAGGCTTTTAGAAACTAGGAAGGGTTTAGAGCTGGGGGGTCAAAAAAGCAAAGGAGTTTAGTCAAAGGATGACTGCTAAGATAGGGTCAGTTTTCTTCAGAGGAGTTTGCCCATAGTGGTTTTCCCATCCTTAGTTGCAGGGTCTTATACTCATACACACATACACAGCACTGTGTATGCTTTGGGTTTGTGAATGAGAAGTTAAGGAAGAATGAAGAAGGATAGGAAGGAGGACAAGGAGTGAGAGGAAAAGGAGGAGAAATTGCGAAATAATCATCAAGTTGGGAAGAGGACATGGTGTAGGGTCCAGGGGCCATTGGAAGGGAGAAGAGGTGGCTATTGGACATAAGTCCAAATAGTCCCATATGAGGTTTCCCAGGACTATGTAATAAAAAGGAAAATAAATATTAAGAAAAGGAAAGAACAAAGCAAATGGTCAACCAAAAAGTGAGACAACAAAATGAATAAGATTGAAGAAAAATAACTAATCAAAAGAAAAAAGGGAAACACAATTTAATTCATTAGAAATAAAAGACACTACCTCAGACACCAAATGAAGTTCAAAAGATCATTAAGGTATGTACTAAAAGCTATATTTAAATAAATTGAGATATATAAATGAAATAGATACTTTCATAGACAACCATGACTTAACAAAGTTCAACAAGAGAAAAACAACTCAAAGAGTTCTGTATTGAGCATGAGATGGAAGCAGTAATAAAAGCCTCTCCAATAATTAAAGCTCAGACAAACATGGATTTTTCTTTTTTCCTTCCTTCCTTCCTTCCTTCCTTCTTTCCTTCCTTCCTTCCTTCCTTCCTTCCTTCCTTCCTTCCTTTCTTCCTTCCTTTTTTGCAGTTTGTACTGTTACTGCAGAGACTCTTGGCTGACTAAATTACTGAAAATACGTAACTGTTACTACATACAAAAGAAAATGTGTCTTCTATCCTACATCCCTCAAAGATTCAGTAAACTTCAGAGAAGATTGAACAGAAAGAATGTAAGCATTCTAGGAATGGGTGGAGTGCAGTTTATCTATTTATTTCATATTGAAACATTCCATTATGGATAGAACTGCAGGAGGCTCACAAAACTCACAAGAAATTTACAAGATTCATGACCCTTCCCTGACCCTTTCCTATTACCAAGGTTGTGTAAGTAGTAAACAATTGCTAGGAAAGAGGAGACGTTTTGGTGTAGTTACCTAGGACCTGCAGAGGGAGATTAAACTACTTAGCTTTCAGGAGGCATGACCAATGGAGAAGGAGCTTTTGATGATGCAGTGTGTTAAGTCACACACACACACTCTTCAAATTAGGATATCTGACATTGTCCTAATAAATCCAGTTGGTCAGCTGGCTAGACTTGAATGATATGGATTCTTTATTTATTGTCATTGCCCAGTCTGGGGTCAATGGACATTCTCAATATCCCCAGGAAAAGTCATATCTGCCCACAAAGGACACCACAGAGAAAGATTTGGGTAAAAAATTTGGTAGAAGCACAGATTAAAATACACAATACATGGACTGGAAACATACATGAAAACAAAAATCCAATGAAAAATAAACTGTATTAGACAAATACTAAGTTCTGTTTTTTGGAGACTGGGTCTCTCTCTATAGTCCTCTCTCTCATGATACTCACCATGTAGACCAGGCTAGTCTCAAACTCACAGATACCCATCTGCCTCTTTCCCCAAGTGCTTGCATTTAAGGTGTGCACTACTTTTCTGGGCTCAACCACTAAGTTTTTAAAGCATGGTATATACTTAAGTGCAGTCAAAACTATTTTTCACGTAAGATTTTTCACTCTGTGATTCAATATTATGAAGCTCACTTTTTATCCTGAGTTCAGTAAAATATATCCACTTCTTTTTTAAGTTCTTCCATGGAGATTGTTGACCCTTCCATGATATACATGAGTCCTACACAGCAGAGACACAGGGAATGATCACCAGCTTTATAATTTCATGCTGTCCTTTCCCTTGTACTTGTCCCTGCTGCCTCAGGCTCCAGCAGGTACCTGAGGGGCTGACTCCAGGTCCAGTTGACCAAGTCCAGGCAGACAGGTGCAAGGAGAAGACAACAAGTGAGCATGGGAGTTTGACTGAAGGGTTACTGCGAATGCTCATTTGAGAGCAATGGGCAGCTTCTTGGGAGAAAATGATGTTGCACACTCATCCTCCAGGAATACGTGTACAACTAAGATTGTCAATGAGCATAATCATTCAAAGTACTGGCCCAGCCCTCCATCACTGTGGTTCTACCATGTCCCTGAGGCAGTGTCAACACAGACCTTGAATACTGACCGACCATAGAAAGCCAGGGTGAGTAAACATACCCAGAGATCTGCATCCAGGTCTACCTTGCTTGAGGTGTGATGAGGGAGGGTCCTGTAATCTTCCTCCCTCCACTGCTGCCACTGCTCCTAGATTACTCAAAGCTAGGTCCCTCACAGATTCCATGAAGTTCCCCAATGCAGCAAGATCTCTGTAGGGACCTGCAGACATTAGTACACCTGATGCCATCGCCAGTCCTGCCCACCCTAGTGACTACTCAACTTTCCTGCCCCGGTGTCTGCAATCTTCTGAAGCTGTTTGGCATTGGCTGCACATTACTTGATCTTCTAAGATATCATATAGTTCTATAGGATTGTTGGGTGCCATGCTACTTGGTGTCTGGTATCTGTTCCAATATTTCATCAAACTTGTGAACTGAGAAGGCCTGCCACATAAAAACTGAACTCAGACAAAAATGCTAAACTCTTTATTGGATTCAGACAGGGCAGGGACAGGAGTTTAAAGCTAAAGTAGGATAGCAGTCCAGTGGGAGTAACAGTCAAGGAAGGAGTGGGTCTCCAGTGGGGGAAATGCAGCTCTGTGGGGTGTGGTCCAGCGGGAAGAGTAGTCCAGTGAGGTCATTGCCTTGTACTAGTGGCAAAGATAGCTCAGCAGTTGTGGTCCTGGTGGGCTGTGACTAAGAGAGGAACACAAGTGAGAGACTCCCCCCCCCCCTTACCGTGGGAACAGCAGTCAGAGAGTAGCAACCTGGGAGGTGGGTGCCTATCAGAGGTCTTCCTTGCATCAAGCCTCTAGGAGGTCTCTCCAGAGAATACATGGGCCCCTGAACAATCCTAACTCCATGATCTTGTAGACCTCAAATTGTGATTGGTGGGTTCCTAGGGCGTGAAATTAGACCAAGTGGAGACCCACAGTAGGGGAGGGACTCTGGGAAAAGAAAGGAGAGATTTCCCAAGTATCTTGGGAATTAACCTTGAGGACACCTCCTGAAGTGGTCACTGTTTCCTGGCTAAGCTGGGTCCCTCCTGAGAGAGAGGATGGGAGCAGGGCCAAGAACAGATAGAAACTTTAACTCTGGAGCTGACAAATCTGTGTCCTATCAATGTTCCTTCAGTGGGTCACTTACCACTGTGATGCTCGGGAACACAATGTTCTGTAAAAGCAAGGGGAAAAAAATCAAATAAAAGAAGGTGTGATGGTTGAAGAACCAGATTACCCTCTGCAGCCCCAAGATCAGAGAAAGGCCTTACTGGCAAAGAAGGGCACATAGTTACACAAGCGTAGAAGTACTACGGATAGCACATAGGGCACATAAGGGGGGGGGCAGAGCAGAGTATCCTCTCACCCCTCTGCTCAGGCACAATAATGTTTTCTTGGAGAAGTCCTTTGTGCTGTATGAATTTCTTAAATTCTTCCAGGGCGTCTATGTTTTCTTTTAGATGCTTTCCTGCAGGCAGAGGTCAGAACAGAACAGGCATGACTGTACAGCTCTGTTGGGAGCCAGTGACACAAGGACAAAAACCCTGCCTAGCACTAGGGCCTTCAACCGGGAGAAGATGGAAGCAAAAGGGGAGGAGATTTCAGAGTGAACACGGAGGTGGGATATGGATGATTGGCTTGCCCACAGGAAGTGAGTATCACTGACACGTAGGGCCACCATAAGACTAAACATATAGCTGACAACCTAAGGAGACAAGTAATGTCACACACTAACCAGGAAGGACCCTGTGTTTCAGGGTCACTAGCCTGCCTCCTGTTCCTAGGAGCCATTGCCCATGAAAGGTCTCTGATAGGACACAGACTTTCAATGAGACCTGCCTATTATGAAATCTGAGACCCCAGCAAGTGACATGTAGGAAATCACTGGCTAGAACTTCTGCCCTATTGGTCAGTGCTCAAGGCCACATCTGCTCATGGAAGTTCTACACAGACCACAGTTTCCCACTTCAGAGCATGTACATTGACCACACAGCACCTTAACCAGAGCTACTAGAAGGACACCCAGGGGACTTTGTAGTTCTGAGTGCCAGAGCGTAGTTGTGCACATTCAAATAGTTAATGATAATAGATAAAATTGGCAGAAGCTGGAGTCTCTGGAGTTCCTCACCTAGGAGGTCAACTGCTTCAGATTTTTTCTCAAACATAAGGATTTCAGTGTGTATGATGTAGTGGTCCTTCACTGGAAGCTCATAGATGTGGAAAAGCACATGGCTGGAAACTGCAGATTAAGGAGAAATGGAAATGTAGTGTCTTTTTCAAAGACAACATTCAGAGCACACTAAGAAACAGCTGAGAAAGTTTCATCAATAACCCATAAGCACCCAGCCAGATGACTCCAGGCCTCAATGTGGCCCCAACACAAGACAGAGGCTCCTCCTGGAAAGATGTCATCAGTAGCTTGGAGTTGGGACCACAAGTGTCATGGAAGATGGAGGTTGTACATGACTGGTCCACTAGCAGCTGCTTTGTCCTGCTTCTTAAATCCTAAATTTCTGTCTCCTGGCCTGACACTGGATAGTACTATCTAAAGGGAAACATGGTCTCTTCTTGCTTCTGAAAGCAAGATGTCTTTCTGTATGCTGTGAATGTGTTGCTCTGATTGATTGATAAATAAAATGCTGATTGACCAGTAGCCAGGCAGGAAGTATAGTATAGGTGGGATAAGCAGAGAGGAGAATGCTAGGAAGTGGGAGGCTGAGTCAGGAGATGCTGCCAGCTGCCACCACCATGAGAAGCAAGATGTAAAGTACCAGTAAGCCACAAGCCACATGGCAACTTATAGACTAATAAAAATGGGTTAATTTAAGATATAAGAACTTGATAGCAAGAAACCTGCCACAGCCATACAGTTTATAAGTAATATAAGTCTCTGTATATTTACTTGGGTCTGAGGGGCTGTGGGTCTGAGCAGGACTGGAGAAAACTCCAACTACACTAACCTTTGATCTCTAAAGTTACCTGGTAATTAACTGGGTAAATCTTCCTGCAAGATAATCAGAGAAGAGATGCTACAATCTCAGGAGCTTGCCTTCCAAGGGATAATCACATGCAGCCAGGGTACCTTGTTGGCTAATAATGTGATGTGATCTAGAATCACGTGAGTTTATTCCACTGGTCATGACAGTGGAAATGATATTGATTATGTTCATTGATTGTGGAAGAATCATCTTAATTGTGGGCAGGAGCATTCCATAAGCAGAAGATCCTGGAGTATATAAAATGGTGAAGCCATCTGGTGAGCACTAGCATTAATGCATTCATTCTCTCTTCTGACTATGGGCATAATATGAGTAGCTGCCTCATGCTCCAGCTGCCAGGAATGCTCCACCATCGTGGACTGTACCTTGAAATGAACCTTGAACTAAAGTAAACCCTTTCTCCCTTAAGCAGTGTTGATTAGAGTGTTTTTTGACAGCAACAGGAGAAGAAACTGAGATAAGGACTCACAGGAGCTGTATTGATCAGGCTTCTCTGTTCTCTGCATATGCATTGTTGTCTTCATGCACTGGCCCTCAGACCTGGAAAACAGGAAACCAACTTGCATCCTCTTTCAGAACACATGCCTGAGCTCCACTGAGGTCACCTGGTTCATCAGCCTTAATACAATGTCCTCTGAAATCCTATACCAACCCTTCCTATGTTTTTGGGTGCGGGAACTGTGGCCCCTCAGAGGAAGGGGCTTTTCTGTCATCAGTATCCAAACATAGATAGAAGAGGTAAGAGAAAGTTGAAAAGACACATGGGGGATACTCACATGATGGTGGTCCTGATCTCCAAAGTTCCTTGTTCCGGAAATGACACTCTATTAGGGAATGCTACCAGAGGTCTCAGATTTGTCAGGTTCTTATCACTCACTGTAGCCTTCACGAACCAGACACCCGAGAGCTGGGGCATACAGAGTCCTGAGCCCACACTAGGCAGCCTCAAATCTCCCCCAGGTTCCCATAGGCAATGTAGCCTGAACACATATCTCAGAACCCAAGATACAGCCCCTGAGTTAGTGAGGTTCCATGCTCCAAACCCATGCTCCTTAATATTATATTAGACTACAAATTAGTGGCCCAGCAGAAACACATGGTGTCTGGCTCCAAAGGCTCCAAATCCCTAGGAGTCTATGAAACAACAAACAAAGGTCCTATCAAGTGAGAATTTATGGTTCTGGGTGTCCTTGCTCTAGAACCCTTCCTGCTCCAACTCTGTGGCTCAGGAGCCCATGTGTGATGGAGATCAGCAGCCTCTGCTCAGACTCAGAGGACTTGAACCCTCATGAGTGCTGGCTCCCGTCCTCAGACACTGGCCAGCAGTCAAGCCTTCCACATACACCTGTCCACCATCCCTCTCTGCCTCACTTTCTTTTCTTCTGAGAGGAAGGGCAGGTCATCCTGAGCTTGTAGGACAGCCACCAGGACAAACAGTGTGACAATCAGGAGCAGGCTCTGCATCTCCAGGCTCTGTGCTCTCAGACAAGGCAGGTCATGGAGTGACAAAATGAGTCTCTGCTGGCTCCTCAGAGGACGCCCTTTATGGCCACAAGTTGCACTGGCCACACCCCTCCTGGCCATCTTTCACGGCCAAATCTATTACCATCATTGGGCTGGATGTTGTTGCTGTTGGGATCTGGTGTTCTTTCGATGCCATCTCCAGATAAAAGACACAATGCCTTGCAATGTCTGCACCATCCAATGCTGCTAGTCCTGTAGGACCCCAGGGAATGTGAGGTACTCAGCTGTGGAGTGGGGACACAGTCTGGGCCAGCCAATAAGGGAAGGCTGAGTTCATTCCCTTTCCACATCTAGCTCTGCTCTCTCCCTTCAGACAATCATGGCTGCCCTGGCCACCTTCTCTGGAAGGTGATTTCTTGGCTCCTGGTACTCAGAAAAGGACTGGAATTCTCCACATGCAGTCCTGTTGATTTCCAGAGCCCGCATTATGTTCTAGGATCCAACTCAATGCTGCTAACGTGTGGCAGGCCACCCTAGATGTGGGTTGGGTCCTGTGTGGTGGCTCTGGGTCTCCTGAAACAGTCCCTCCTCTAAGAGTCTCCTAGCCACAGTTAAGCCCACAGTCACCTAAACTGCTGCATTCTGCACTTGGGACAGCTGTGCTCCCTTAGGGCACTTCTTACTCTCGAGGGTCTAGCTCCTTCTTCCCACCTTATTCTTTCATCCTACCCCAAACCTATCTCCTTATTTCATTCTAAGATCCCGAGGAATAGGGCCTTGATGCCCATGCTTTACAATTTATCCTAAAGCTGGAAAAGCTTAGCTACATGTCAGGGGCCATTATTATGTGTTCACTACGGGATATGTCAGTGTTTCACCTGTGTGAGCTTAGGAACAAAGGATATTGGATCCTCTGTTGTGTTGGTCATCAGAGTGCCTGATGAAAGGACTGGTGGACCCCCAGCCCTCCCTGCGCAGTGGAGTCCCCTTCTACACCTGCGGCCTGCATGAGGTTCTTAGGTCAGGCATCGACAGTTGTGAGCCAGTGTTTGTACAGCTGCACCAAATTTCTCAAACTAGAGCCCCCATAATACTTAAGTTTACCCTCTACTTTTTCTGAAAATTGAAAGGCTACCAAGGTGACCCCAAGTCTAAGTCCCTTTGGGTAAAAAGGGCAGGAGGGATACAAGGTGGCCAGGGCCTCCCTGAATCCAGAGAACATGGCTGAGCTTCCCTGGCTGCCCTCTCTAATGACTCAGCCCAGCTTTCTCCCCAGCAGGAACTCTGCCTCCTTCCTCCCCATCCTGCACTTCTTGGCCCTGAAGAGTCCTGTTCTGAGACAATGCTGGCCCAGACTCTGGATACAGGTGCTAGTCACACAATGGCATCTTTGTACCTCTGTGGACCCATGTTGCACAGCTCCACATATCTATAAACAATGTGGAGTCAGGTTGGACAGCAACACATATCTACAAACAATATTAATGAGCATTCTCTTACAAGCTTTGGCTCTTGCTGAGGTGTTCATAAGACCAAGGCCCTGACCCTAGCATGCAAGGTGCTACTGAGCAGGAAGTCTGTCATCCCAAGGACTGGAAAGGGTGGGTCCTGTGATCTTTAGAAGCAAAGAATAATGAGAAGGTTGAAGTACCCATATCTGTGGTGCCAAGGATTATTTTGGTTGTTGTCCTGCTGATTGAAATAAAAAAAGCTTATACTTCACTGCATGTGGATCACTGATTAAAGTATTTATGACAATGGTATATGGACTTTAAAAGACTGACCAATCATGAATCTCATGTGTAGTATGATGTGAAGCCTCCCCACACCTCTTACCCACCTGTCATTCCTATGTCCCTGTGAGCTGAGTTCTGCCACCTATGCTCATAGAGACCCAAAAGTTAAAGTGATGAAAGAATCCATCCAGAGCTGGTGAGGCAGAGTTTGAAGTCAATCCCTGGTGACTGAGAGAGGGCATCATGTGGAGTCCTCAGATGGCACATGATCTCAGGAGTCAAAAAACAGGTGGCTGGGGACAACCCAGGGTTAACAAGGTGGAGAGATGGTAGGGTAGGAGGGAGAGGATGCCCTGTCCACAGTGTGCCATGGCCTAAGGCATTTAGGAGTGACCCCATTTCATTCTAGTGGTGGTTCTTACAGAGTTCTCCAACTCCACAGCTCCTGGTCTTACCACTTCTGGTCACATCCTTCACTGCCCTTGAATATGAACCCCAATGTGGTCAACTTTTAGATGCTGCTAAGTCACAGGTGCCTCACTACAGGGTCTTGTGTCTGTGCATTCTACAAAATTTACAGATGGGGGGTATTGATAGCTCAACCGATAGCACCAGGCAAGATGGGGTATTGACTGGGACTGAGATTCATTGAAAAGAAGTGGAGAGCAGTCCTGAGATTGCTATCAGTAAATCCTGGAATACGGACTCCGTAGTAGGGGCTACAGATTGTTTCTCCATAGACTTCAGTTGAGGCTGCACTTGGACCACCATGAATGCCTAGCTCCAGTTTAAAGCCAATCTGAAGCATGAGTGCTCAGTACAAGAAGTGAAAGATCCTTTCGGGTGCTGCTGCTGAACTCTGCTGGTTCTCTCTTTTTTTTTTTTTTAAAGGCAGGTCCAGGCACACTGATTTATGGCTTGCCACCTCCAGTACGGTACGTCCCTCCTCTGTGTTTCAAGTGACACACTCTGGTCAGGCCCAGATGTGTCCTGTGTTAGCACACTCAGTTAACAAAGGCAGTTACCAATAGGATAAGAGGAGTCTGGTGTGGTGCTGCAGACCTTAATCCCAGTGCTTGGGAGGTGGAGACAGGAGGATGAGGAGTTCAGTGCAAACCTAAGACGCAAACTGAGTTTCATGCCAGACTGACTTACCTGCATTAGACTGTGTCTCCAAAGAATTTTTAAGGAATAAAGAAAGAAAAAGGTCTGTTTTTCAGTTCCTCCGTCACCCCTCCCTCTCTCTCTCTCTCTCTCTGACACTGTCTCTGTTTGTCTCTGTCTCTGTCTGTCTGTCTCTGTCTCTCTCTGTGTGTGTGTGTGTGTGTGTGTGTGTGTGTGTGTGTGTGTGTGTGTGTGTGTGTGTGTGTGCTCCTTCATTCTCTCTCTCCCTCCCATTTCTCTCTGAGGAAAATCAAGCACACTAACTGTCCCACAGTGCTCATCTTCTAGGTGGCATTCTTTCCATATTCTCTGCATTTTTTTAATTTTACTGAAATATTTTCATTGTATATAGTGGTTTGAGTGACAGTCACCCTCATAGGCTCAGATATTTTGAATACTTGGACTCCAGTTTGTGGTTCTGTTTGGCTAGGTGTAAGAGGTGTGGCCCTGCTGATGGAAGTACGTCACTGAGGGGCAGGATTTGTGATTTCAAATGCCACATGGTATTTTGAGTTTGTTAGCTTTGCTTTCTGCCTGTGGAGTGAGATGTGAGCTCTCAGATTATTTTCTTGCTACCATGGCAGCCTACTGCCACACCTCATGATGGTGATGGCCTTATATGCCTCTAGAACTATAAGCCCCAAACAGACACTTACGTCCATAAGTTGGCTTAGTCTTGGTGTTTTATCATTAAAGTAGAAAAAGGATTAAGACAGAATCTGGTGCCAGGGGTGGGGTATTGCTGTGACAGACCTGATTATGTGATTTGGGGAGGATTGTGGTGGCATTAGAACTTTGAGCTGGAAAAACAGTTGGCTGATCAGAGCTCAATGGCTCTTCTGTGATCAATGGGAAGGATGGAATGCTGAGAGAAAGGCAGATGATAGAGGATTACCTTGTGAAGATAAAGAACCATGGAGTCTATCTCAGGCATTTGGTGATTTTTGAGTTAATAATCCATGGTGTCTAGTGTCTTTAGCTGGAGCTGAAGAATACCTGTGATTATCCAGAGACTGGAACCAATACTTCACTCATACAATCAGTACTGGTTAACTGGAACTGAGAAATGAGCAATGATTTAGATGAGACCAGAATTAGAGTCTTCTGGAAATATTCCCTCAGAATTAGCACAAGAAGATGTGGTGCAGAGGAGAATAAGGCTGTATCTCATGATTTCATCTGAACTTGGTAAAATATAAGAGCTGCCAAAGTGGTGCTGGGATTTATATAAGTTTTGTTAGTTTTATTCATTTCATTTTTCATGTGAGGGTATTGCCTGCATGTATGTCTATGCACCATGTGAGTGATTGGTGCCAACAGACATCAGAAGAGGGCATCAGATCCCCTCAAAATGAAATTAGAAATGGTTTTGAACTACCATGTGGGTACTGGGAGTCAATCCCCAACCTTCTGCAAGATCATCAAATGCTCTTAACCACTGAATCATCTCTCCATTCCCCAAGGTGGTACTGGTTTTGAAGATACAAAGAGATCATGGGGATAAGCTGAGGCTTTGCATTATGTGGCAGGGTTGGGGCCCTGAAGAGAGGCCATTGGTGAGGGTGTAGTGTCCATAGCAACGGAGACCCCAGGACACTGGAGATACCATAACTATCTGTAATCACTGCAAAAGACAGCAGCAGATGTGAGATGAAGGCTGGCTTGTGTCTGTGAAAAATACTATTTGTTCTCTATCAGGCAGAGACAGGGAAGTGGAGTGAGGTGCCCATGCACTTTGGAGCCCAGAGAACTATAAGTACATCCTAGACATCAAGCACTTTTTATACTGTTGAAGTTTGGTTGTGCTTTGATTTGATTGTGATTGTACCCTGGTTCTTCCCTTTTGGAGCAAGAAGTATTTAACTTGGATTTTGTTTTTATTATTATTTTATAAGAGCCCACAGTTGAGAGACTTTGGACTTTGAAAGAGACACTGGATTTTTAAAGAGAACTTGGATTTTTACAATTTTGAAGTTTTTGAAGACTGTGGGACTTTTAAAGTTGTTTGGGTTTTATATTGTAATAGTAATGTCAACCTGACATCTCAGAAACAAATGAGAAAGGGAAGACTGTGGTTTAATACTGATGTGATTTATGCAT